CCTACACTAAAATTGCTTTTATCAAAGTCACCAGAAAATTCCATCTCTCCATGTGCAGCAATCAGTTCCTACTCCTCACATCTTACTCATTGCTCAGCAGCAGTTGACATACTTCCCCCTGGCTCTCAGGCCACCAAACTCCCCTGGTTTTCCTTCTTTCCTCAGTGATGACCCCACCTACCCTTTCCTACCTGTCAAGTGGAGAACCTCAGGGTTCAGTCCTCAGTCCCCATATTTTCCTTTTGACATAACTCCATGATCCACCTGCCCTTCATCCACTCTAAAAATTTTAAGTATCATCTTATGTATTCGAGCTATTCTATATTATTTCCTAATTTGTAGTGCATTTGTAGCTGCCTTATATATTTCCTAAAAACAAAGATCTCCACCATCTTGTTCTTTTCCATCCTTTTTAAAGTATCTCTCTCTCTCTCTCTCTCCCCCTCCCTCTCTCTCTCTCACACACACACACACACACACACACACACAAAATATAAAGTATCTAACACAATGTTCTGTGCATGGTAAGCCCTGATTAAATGCTGTAGACTCCACCTCTGATTTTGCTCAAGCACAGAAAATATGTATGGATTTACTATTAGGTATAAGCAGGATTTACAGCGACCCACACTTAAGCAACAAGTACCACCTACTAATTATTGAACCTTAAAGCCAGGACCCACTCAGGGCTCATAATCTACTGTCGTCCCCTTAGAATGTATCAAATCCCCAATTCTTTTACTAAGGCTGAGACCATAAGCCAGGTGAGTGGTTCCTTCTATTCAGCATTTTCAATAAGGCGAAGGTAAAATATGTAGTTCTTTCCATTGGGGGTTTCTCATATGTTGAGGCTGGTCACAGGGAAATCCCTGTTCCAACTAAATATCAAACAAATAACAATTAAACTAGAGCCACGATTTCAGTGTGGAACGGCCAAAGAAATTGTACGTGAATCTGGGCTGTTACCTGAGGAATGTGCACCTTTTCCATTACAAGTTAGACCAAAGACTCCTTGATTCCTGAGGATATTTCATCTAATAATACAATTAACATAAACCTGGAGCAGCCTCATTTCAAACCAGAGTGAAAAGGCATCACGTGGTTTTGTGTTTCAGGCCCTAACAATTCTCTGTGTAGCGTGTCTGATGGTTAAGCTCAGCCCCTTAGCTGCACTGACTCCTCACCAAGGGAAGAAAAAACAAAACGACTCTACAGGCTGCTCGGGGTCACTGGGTAGAAACTAGATTGTACTCTCCTAGTCAACCAACTCCCACCGTTAGCCAGTATTCCATGATGGTTTATACATTCGCTGTTCTACAGTTACTTAGGAGACTTTTCAAGGGCTTTCAGGACCTTTGAGGATTCTCCTCCATTTGGTTTATGACACCTCAAGGAATTTCTCTGCACCAAACTGCTTCTGAACACACAGAAACGAAACAGGCCTTATAAATTTTAAATCAGATAACAAAGATTTCTCTTCGAAAAGAGTCTCCGAGTTGACTAGTGACAAATAACATAATGTACAGCCAAGTTTTATAAGAGACAAAAATTGTAAAACAAATACTCCAGGATACACTATTCCAAAGAAGAGGAAACATGAGAAACAAGTAGTGACAAACAATCTTTTTATTGTTTACTGAAAAATACAGCTCTGGAAAGAGTCTATTGCATTGTGTATTGAACACAAGGTCTGACATTGCAAGTATACATGACATAACAGTATAACTTATATAAAACGATACATACTGTACATAGAGACGGTGCCCACCCTTCTAAACACTAAAATTTAACGGAATGAAGTAAAGTCTTTTATTAAATGAGAAATGTAAACATCGCAATCATAAACAAAGTGCTCTAAGCAAAGAACTTTGAGATTGTTTTGTTGTGACATCTATCTACCTTGAGTTAGGAACGGTGCAGCCTAGGAAAAACTTAGCCAAATAGAAAGCTAGCACTCTCAAGGAGCTCGTCGCAGGGAGTGGGCTGCTGATGCCTGAGGCAGGCTGCCACCCTGGCTTCCGCGGAGCCCTCAGGTCCACTCTGACCATTAATCCACGTCTTGGGGCTAGTTTGAGGCGAGCGGGAAGAGGACCAGGTGAGAGGAAGCTTCTGTCATGACTCCTTATCCTGTAACAACTCTACAGGATAAGGACACCTAGCATTTTTGACGTGTACCTGCCACTCTCAGCAAACAATGAAATGTGCTTGAGAAGAAAAATATTAACATTGGGAACAAAAGCCATCTTCTATACAGTCTTCAGATACCATTTATTCCTTTCAGCCATGTTTTCACTAAGCTGCTCGAAAAGAGGCTGCTACTATATTGCCAGTCACACAGGCTAGGATCAAGGGTAACGAAACTCCTCCCATTAAAACTGCTAATTCAGATGAGTTAAAAATAAACACAAATTTATGAGAGAACCAAACTCAATCTCAATTATTCACATGGCAACAGAGTCAGGTGCTGCAACAGCATTCACATTCCAAGGTCTGCTTTAACTATAGCCACACTTCCCCTCCAAACTGAGAAAGGCCCGTGTGGAGGGGAACATACGAGATTACCGCCAGCAGCTCCCCTCCACATACTGTCAGGGCTCAGCAAGCTCAGGAGAGATGACAAACGCAAAAAATAAAAATTAAAAAAATAAAGCACATCTCCATACATACACACGACAGAGGAAGACTACTCTCCCCCTGGGCTTCCTCGGCATTAGGCAAACAAGGCTACTTGCAATAACAGTGCCTAAGCTGACTATGGCAATGCTCACAAGAGAAAGAAGGAATTACAAAGTTCCTTTATTCATAGGTAATCAAGGATTATTAAATGAACTATTAAATAAAGCTAAGACAACAGTCTCACCATCAAAGAAAATTTTCTTCCTGCCCGAGATGCTTTTATAAATGAGATGTCACAATATCCCAGATTCCTTACTTAATATTAAACTATTAATGCACACAGGACATCCTCAGAGCTCAAGCATGCGTAATATTAATATTCTCAGATATTTCTATACTTTACAGATCAGCAAATATTTAACCAGACTATCCGTTTAAGAGATGTGTATGTCAACAGTAATAACCAACTCTATATTTTTCTTATCCTGTTCATCAAAGAACACCAAGCTCCAATAGGAATGAAGCCCAGTTCAGTGGGTATCTTGTTTCCCTCAACTCTGCACAATAGATTTCACTATTCAGTCTCTATGTCCTTGACTCTCCTACGACTCACCTAGTTTAAAGAAAATCTTGTAAAAAGGTGGAAAATTGTAAACCCCAGCAAAAACATGGGTATTAGTGCTGAAGTAAGCTTTAGCGGAATAACTATAATTGCTTCTGGGACTGTTTACAGCCTTGCTAGAAACCCTATTCCTCCTGAATCCCTAGATTGAAAAATTCAAATAATTTAAACATGAGAGGGGATTTCTCTGATAAAGGTCTAGTTCACATGTAAGGTTCTGGTCCCTGGAATGATGTGTGGCTAACCCAAAATACTGGCTGCGTTTCCATTTTAAACATGTCTGTTATTCTTCCCCACCACAGTATTGTCAAATTCTCCCATCTGTCACGTCACTGGTGAGTCCTCTCATTTGCTGCTTCTATTTCTTTTGGCTGTTGTACTGCACATATGGGATTCACTGAGCTTCTCACTTAAATGTGTAGG